TTTTAAAAAAATGTCTGCATGAATTTCTAGAGCCTAGTTTTGCCAATATTCGTATGGCATGTTTCTGTAGAGTAAACACTCTATTTACAGAGGAGCAATTTCCCCAGTTTAAAATGCTGCTATCCAAATTTCATGTGAAAATGGAATAAAGTGCTGAAAAATACTTGAAATGTTGACAATGGCATACAGTGACTGTACTCTCGGGTCAAAAAACCGTCGCCATTGAATGACTGTTGTTTTCTGATAGGTGTCAGTCTTCAAGTAGGGCCACTGACTATTTTCCTTCATAACCCTTTGTTTCCAAATACAAAAAAAAGCTATTATCAATATTTATGTCGCCTGAGATCCAGAATCCTCCTCTTGTATTCAAACAACTATCGCTGTGTGCTGTCCATTTCTTCTTAGATATCCTGCAAAACAATCGACCGATTTATGGTATTTTCAAGCTCTTAAATCCCTCCGAACGTACATATTTCTCCGATTGTGTTTACCGTAGAAGATCCACAGATTGGCGCTCGTAGACCATATGGTGTCCCACTAGGAATTCAAGCGGTTTGAAACACAGTATCGATAATTAATTCGACACGTTTTTCACGTGGACCTCATCACACCATCTGTCTCTTACCCGTTAGTACTTTTGGCCTTGGTTCGATGAACCGACAGACGAACATTTGTCCAAATGAAATATTGTGGAACAGCGGAATTATTAAGATATTATGTTTAATATTCAAGTAACATTTCATTGTGAAATTTTCACTGGAAAGTTTACAAAAGCGTAACAATTGGATGATACGAATATTGATGAACTATTTGAAGTTTTTGGTGATATAAGGAATAAATCAACATCTGTTTAGGATGAAATTTCAATACAAAATAATTGAAAATCTTCCAATAGAAGCGCTCAGAACTCTTGCATTACTAAACAATCTTTCATTCAGAAATGGCAGGTTTCCATCCTTTCCAAAAATTGTCGATAGTGATTCCTTTATACAGTGTCACACTTAAAGTCCGCATCAAATGGGATTTTTTTTTGTTCATCTCTTCAAGCAACTTTNGTAGGTCATTTAACGAAAGCAATCTGAATTCTGAGAAAGTTTTGTATAAATTGAAGTTTTTATTGCACCATGACTCTGAATAGTCAATGCTCGCCACAATTTCATTTATGCTTTCAACAAAATAACTGTTGGAGGAATAAGGAGGAATAAGGTGTAAAAGTGACCTAGTTAATAGATGATTGTGTTTTTAAATAGTTTATTTTGTGAAAAAGAAGGCTGAAAAGTTATCCTTTTCAGAACTTTGAAGGGCCGTAACTTTGTGAATAAGGGAGAGCGCCGCTTTTTTCTTTCGGATTCGTAATGTACGCATCAAAATGCGTAAGTACACGCAAAAATTTTTTCAAAATCGCCGGGTGTCCTCAAAACAAAAATTTACCTTTTTTTTTAAACCTCCACGCCGCAACTCCGAACTTTTTCTTAACGACCTAACGAATCAACCTCTGAAGTTTCGTACCGTAGTTAGGAAACACCCTGTATATTGAAATACTGCTCATATGGATACTATTGACTTAAAAAAAATACTTCAACGTTGATCGTCAAGGAAGATATCATCGTCTTTTTCTATCTACTATTGATTGTTTTCACCGAAAGAAGTATTCTCCAAACGTCAATGTCAATATCCAAAAGTCAATTTTTGTTGATATTTTTGTTAACGCGCAAAGAACCCGTGGAAGATTAGAAAGAAACCGTATTGAAAGTCATGTCAGAAGGCAAAAAGCTTCACCAATACATTGCGGCGGTGTCAATCTGCATCGGATCTCTTGCAGCAGGTACCATCTTAGGCTGGACGTCGAACATCACAGATGAGCTCAAGGCTGGGAAACTGAACGACCTCGATATGGACGATACGGAGCTGGGCTGGACAGGATCGTGCATGAACCTAGGAGCCATGATAATGTGTTTCCCGATCGGCTGGATAGCTGATTGGCTAGGCAGGAAACCGACAGTGCTTCTGACCATAATCCCGTTCACTATCGGCTGGGTTCTCATAACCTTCGCCCAACACGTCGCCATGGTATACGTCGGAAGGGTGTTGGTGGGTGTAGGCGGAGGCTCCTTTTCTGTAATAGCTCCGCTATACACGAGCGAGATCGCCCAGACTGAGATCAGAGGAACTTTAGGAACCTTCTTCCAGCTGTTCATCACCATCGGCATTCTCTACTCCGGCGTTTTTGGCTACGCTTTGCCCATGATGGTCTTCAACTTTGCCTGTCTCATCGTGCCTCTGGTCTTCGGCGTGGTGTTTTTCTTCCAACCGGAATCCCCGGTGTGGGATCTGAAAAAAGGCAGGAACGTTAACGCGGAGAAAAATTTCAAAAAACTCCGTGGCGAGGAATATGACGCAAGCGGAGAAGTAGCGGCTATATTGAAGGAAATTGAGGAGGACAAGCAGCGTCAGAACTTCTGGGTCGCGATGAAGACCAAGGCTTCGAAGAGGGCTACTCTGATCTGTTTCAGCTTGATGTTCTTCCAGCAATTCAGCGGAATCAACGCAGTTATGTTCTACAGCAAGGAGATCTTCATCGACGCTGGATCTTCTCTGCCAACTCCCTGGTGTGTCATCATCATCGGCGTCGTACAAGTTATAGCGACCCTCTTCGCCGCGTGGGCAATGGATAAAGCCGGTCGCAAAGTGCTGCTGATGGCTTCGGGTGGAGGCATGTCTTTTTCTTCGTTCCTGCTTGGACTGTTTTTTTCCCTGAAGAACCACGAAGTGCTGGATAAGGACGGAATAGAGAACATCGGGTTCCTGCCAATTCTCTCTCTGGTCATCTTCATCATCGCCTTTTCCGTGGGGTTAGGACCCATACCCTGGCTGGCTTCTTCTGAAATTTTCTCTCCAGACATCAAGGCGAAGTGTAGTTCTGCGGCAGCCACGTTCAATTGGTTCCTGGCGTTTTTGGTGACGAAGTTTTACTTGGATCTCGCCGATGCTATGGGAAACGACATGACCTTCTACATATTCACTGTGATTTCGGCGATTGAAGTTTTTTTTGTCCTGTTCTTTGTGCCCGAAACAAAGAACAAGTCATTCGCGGAAATTCAGGCAGAGATCGGAGGTTGAACGCTTTCTGATACGAATGTATTTCTTCAAAATTAAAAGTCGATATTTCAGGTCCATTTCCAAATCCGTCTTCAGGTTATGCCACCTCATGCATTCAAAGAATGTGTGGGCTGGTGTATCCTCTTGTCCGCAATACATACAATAAGTATCTGGGGTTTTCCCAATGCGAACAGTAAATGTTCTAAAAGAACCATGCCCTGAAAGAAATTTGGGTCATGTAATAATCTGTGGTTCTAATTTTACTTGCTATCCACGGTTCTATTATCGGGATTATCCTCTCTCTTAGTTACTCTTAGTACCATTCTCCTCTGTGTACTCAACATCATCTTCGAGTATGTTTTGATGTCCATCGCCCTACTCCAGATGTGGGCACCGTATAAGAGAATGGACTGGACCACGCTGCTTAGTACTTTCCTTTTTGCGAATCGAGGTCCCCTAATATTTGGAAGGAGTCTACAAGTGCGTTAGCTAGTCTTTCTGCTTTGGGGCCCATATTTCTGATATGGGCGTTAAAGATCAGCTTGTCATCTAAAACTATGCCAGGGCATTTGATAGCTTTCTTTGGAAGGATTTCCGTTTCCCCTACAAGAAAGCGGATCCCTTCTCTATTTCTAGGCCCCTTCAGAATCACAGCTTCGGTTTTCTGAGGTGCTATGTCCAGATTAGTTTCTGTCATCCAGTTACCTATTTGGTCTAGAGCTTGGTTTGCCTTTTCTATTAACTCGTTTTTATTTTGGGCCCTTACTACCACCGTTATGTCATCCGCATATGCCACTATCTTACATCAGTCTTAATACTGGATCATATAACACATTCCACAATGTTGGCCCCAACACGAATCCCTGTGGGACTCCCTTCGTTATCTTAGTCTCAATTTGACCCATCTTAATCGTTCTATTGCTGAGATAACTAGATATCATATTGACTAGGTATTGGCTCACCCCAATATCTACTAGCCTATTACAGATCTTACTCCAAACCGCCGAGTTAAACGCGTTTTTCACGTCTACCGCTATTATTACCGCCCATGTTGGGTTCCCCTTGGAGTACTCTACGATTTTCTTAACTGCGTCGATCGTTGATCTTTTTTTCCTGAATCCAAACTGATTTTCGGAAATGCCTCTATTTCTCTCCAGTTCTAGCTCCAGTCTATTCCTTATGAGGTGTTCAAAGGTCTTACCTGGCGCATCCAGTAGGCATATTGACCTAAACTTTCTTTCTTCCAAGGGTCCCTTAGGTATGAGGGTAATGTTAGCCTTTTTTCAATCTTCCGGGAAGCTCTGCGNTTTTCAGAAAAGGAGAGATCATCTATACTAATATTATACAGAACAAAAATTTGATTTTTTTGTTTGTTCGTAATTGATGAGCTTGGAAACCACTAAATTGAATTCGAAAATTCAGTCTAGTCAAGAAAGTATGTGAAACAGACAATATGATTTTTTTTTAATTGAAAGCGTTATATTTTCAGGAGTGACTGATTCTTTGGGATAGAAAGCTTTCTACTACTCCATATTAATACAAAAAAAATGTGGAAGTCTTCCAAAGAAAGGAAGGAAGTAATAAATTTCCAAATAAGTAACTAAATACATAGATGTGTAGATCATGCAAAGAAGTAACTTTCAGACACAAACTGGAAGAAAAGCCCTCCTGAAACAGCTACTTCCATAGAAACATTGAATTACACGAAAGAAAAATTCTTTCGAAACAAATACTTTCATATGAACACTGAATTATACAAAAACACTCTTCTCTACTCAGTTTGTATTCCAAACATTCTTTATGGAATTGACTCAGATATCATTCACAGGATTACTACACAATATACTGGATGAAAGGTAAAAATTTCACTTACATAGAACACTGTCATCCTCACTGGTAGACATCGATGTTTCGCCGTAAGGCACTTGCCTAGGGCTCTTCACCATAAATGACGATTTTTTATGCCACGGAATAAGTGTCATCTACTTATGTCATCGATGACATCGTAATGATATTCATTCACGTATTTGATTAAATCCCAGGAAGAATTACGGAGAATTTACCAGGACAGATATCTTAACAGAGTAATTCCATGTGCTACATACAAGATTATGTGAAATTGGGTGTATTAATGAAAATACAGGTGGTGGAAGAGCAGAAACTGTAGCAAAGCCTGAACCATAAGAAGTTATACTTGATGCGATCTGTATCTGTATGTAGGCCACATGTGACCCATTGTACATCCTCCCGAGGAGTTGTCCTCCTAGGTCATCGTCCATCCTGTCACTCACTACGTAGTACGTACCACACTGTATCATCCTGCATCAACAAAACTCAAACGCACCGCCCAAGAACGAATAAGGAATAAACCATTAACCCGAAATAATAAATGCCATACGTTGCAAGGGAGCCAAGCCTCCGACCGCTTTAAAAAACACAGGCTCCACGAGACCGATCCATCCAGCGACATACGTCCCGATTTGTAATTTCAGTTGCAGAAATTATAGCGTCAGAGGAGGCTAGCCTCCAGTTGGTCCCCGTTACTGTTTGACTGTGTTTGTTTTTTATTCAATTATTCGGAAGGGATGCCGTGACGTACCGGGACTGAAAAATATTTTGGTAAATCGCTTTAGTGTTCCTTGATAATATTTGTGTATAAAACAGGCAGTATTGTATTATAGCAGTTCTTTTTGGTAATATTTTCGATGTGTTTTTGAAGAGTTTTCTTTCAATTTTAAGGTGTTTTCAGGTTTTCACTTTTCGGTAAGGTTTTTTTCATTTATTATGGATAAGTTGGACGAAATTAAAGAATCTTTATCTTTTGATAATAAATTTTACATACATTATTAAAACCCTGGGAAGGCCTCAACCAAATTTGATTTCAATTAAATCGTCAGATGCCGTCCAAATCTTCCATAGGAATGAATACCGGAAATCGCAATGAACCGTTTTTTACTCTCGAAAACACATCCACTTTAATTTCTCGACCTCAGATCGCACCTAATACCGAATACCCTTTTCAATTTCAATGCAAAGTTTGCACCAACCTACGCTCGTATTCTACCCATTTTCCGCTCTGTGGATTCACATTGTAATGAAAATGGAATAATATACTTGAAACTTCAACTATAGGTACTCTTTCAGCGATTTCCAACGGTTTTTACTAACTCATTTAGTTGTCTATATTAATTCTGAAATATTCAACAGAATTCTCCAGAATTATAGCTTATGAATAATTTATTGGGTGTAACGGTTTCAATTCAGAAAGCATTCATCCATGAACTTTTTTTAATGGAAGTTATGTTGGAGATATTTATTGTTGTGTCAGTCAGCACGCATTAGTGACATATCGAAATGGTGGGATTTTTTGTCCAAATCGACATCTACTATTTATGTTGATTTGGATTCGATGTTTGAAGCAGGTGGAATAGTTATTCATTGGACCAAGGTATTGAATGGATTTTTAGTCCCTCGTAAATTTGTAAGTCACCTGACCTATTGATACACACAAACTTGTATATAGATAATTCAAGTCCGGTAATACAGGCACAATGTACATATGTGAATATGTTTGAAAATTTCGACGTCAATTTCGAACTCGAAATCACTATTTTGATGCCAAAATTTTATTGAAACTCGAAAACTTTCGCCTTTAAATCCTTCAAACTTGAAATTTTGAGATATATTTCGACATTGAACTCAAAATTTCTACTTTAATTTCCAAAATTTTGAGTCCATTTTCGAAATTTTGGCTTTGACCTCGATATTCTGATATTCTGAGTTCAAACCCTTCAAACTCGAAAATTTGAGATTTATTTCGACTTTGAATTCGAAATTCCTACTTTTCTTTTGAAATTGTTACTTTGATTCCAAAATTTTGGCTTCATTCTCAAAATTTTAGCTTTAATCTCGAAATTTGGAGTTTAACCGTTTTGAACTCGAAAACATGAGAGTTATTTCAACTTTGAACTCGACATTTCTACTTTGATCTCAAAATGTTGACTTCATTCTCGAAATTTTTGCTTTGATATCGAAAATTTGAGATTCAATCCTTTTAATCTCGAGAATATGAGTTATTTCGACTTTGAACTCGAAATTTCTACTTTGATTTCAAAATTTTGACTTCATTCTCGCAATTTCTCGAAATTCCGAGTTCAACCCCTTCACACTGGGAAATTTGAGAGTTATTTCGACTTTGAACTCGAAAGTCCTACTTTGATTTCGAAATTTTGACTCCTTCTCGAAATTTTGGCTTTGATTTCAAAATTTTGAGTTCAACCCCTTTGAACTTGGAAATTTGAGAGTTATTTCAACTTCGAACTCGATATTCCTATTTTGATTCCGAAGTTTATACTGTGATTCCAAAATTTTGACTTCATCTTCGAAATTTTGGTTGTGATCTTGAAATTCCGAGTTCAACCCCTTCAAACTCGAAAATATGAGAGTTTTTTCAACTTTGAAATCGAAATTCCTACTTTGATTTCAAAATTTTGACTCCATTCTTGAAATTTTGGCTTTGATCTTGAAATTTTGAGTTCAACCCCTTTAAACTCGGAAATTAGGGAGTTAATTCGACTTCAAACTCGAAATTCCTACTTTGATTCCAAAATTTTGACTTCATTCTCGAAATTTTGGCTGTGATCTCGAAATTCCGAGTTCAACCCCTTTAAACTCGAAAATATGAGAGTTTTTTCAACTTTGAAACCGAAGTTCCTACTTTGATTTCAAAATTTTGACTCCATTCTTGAAATTTTGGCTTTGATCTTGAAATTTTGAGTTCTACCCCTGTAAACTCGAAAATATGAGAGTTATTTCGACTTTGAACTCGGAATTTCTACTTTGATTTCAAAATTTTGACTCTATTCTTGAAATTTTGGCTTTGATCTTGGAATTTTGGGTTCAACCCCTTTAAACTCGGAAATTAGGGAGTTAATTCGACTTCGAACTCGAAATTCCTACTTTGATTCCGAAATTTCTACTTTGATTCCAAAATTTTGACTTCATTCTCGAAATTTTGGCTCTAATGGCGACATTATTCGAGCTTAGCCATTGGCTTTCGCTTTAGACT